GACAGAGATTGAGGAGCTTAAAGCCCAGCTTAGCAGAATGAGGGAGGACTGGATTGAAGAGGAGTGCCACCGGGTGGAGGCTCAGCTGTCCCTCAAAGAAGCACGCAAAGAGATCAAACAGCTGCGTCAGGTGGTGGAAACCATGAAGAGCAGTCTGATGGAAAAAGATAAAGGAATTCAGAAATACTTCATTGACATCAACATCCAAAACAGGAAGTTGGAGTCCCTGCTGCAAAGCATGGAGCTCGCCCAGAGTGGTGCCAACCTCCAAGATGAAAACACCCTGGACTTTATGTACGACAGCTCTGATGGCAGTGGGAAGAAGATGGTGGTGGATGAGGAAGGTACGATGGAGCTGGGATACCAAGGAGCAGAGGCAATGGCAGACAGCGGGCTGCTGGCAAATGATGAGATGGCGAACAGAGCGGACATTTTGGAGAAGGTCTTCATGTCCACTGCAATGGACTTCAGTCAGGACTGTAGCAGTAAGCTGAGGGCCAGTGCAGAGTCTGGGCCCGGAGTGTCTGCGCTGTCAGGAGAGAGACAGTCAACCGATTCATCCACTGGAACCCAGCCCACTCTACCAGATATGGTTGCCACCTCAGGCACACTTCCACATCAGGACAAAGAAGTCCAGGCCGACATCATGCCCATGCCTCCGGACCTGCAGGCTCTGCTCTTTCAGCTTCTCAAGTTCCATGGGGTTGCAGCAGGTGATGCAGCTCTATCAGCTCCAGTTAGTCTTCTAGGGTTCCCAAACCTACCTGGCTCCATTTGCACCACCACCAAACAGCCTGACTCAACACCTTCCCAACCCAGCACATTTCCAGAGAGCCCCGACACCCCCGCCTATTCCGGCACATTTTGCTCAGAGCCTTCCGAGAACAGACGATTCATGGAGGAGCTGGACTTTACTGTCGGCGAGGAGGATTCTCATCTGTCATCAGGACTGGATGTGGTTGGCAAGCGTTACTGGAGCAACAGCTTCCTGGTGGATCTGGTGGCAGTAGCGGCACCAGTATTGCCTACAGTGGCTTGGCTGTACTCACGGCATGGCTTGGACGGAAGCACTCCGGTGTACAACATTGCTGCCCTGATTAGGGGCTGCTGCATCATGGGATTGCACTCTCTTCGTCACATCACTCATAGGCCTGATGCGTAATGGCTTCCAATCCGCATGCAAAACCCCTGACCTTGAACTAAAGCACTTAAGCATCTTTCCAAGAGTATTTGTGACATCGTTGAACACTTGATATCAATGCAGTCATTTTGGTTTGAGCACTGTTATTTTTTTTGCACTGTAGTTACCAAGAGGTGACATGGAAGGGATTATTTATAACAAAGTTTATTTATGTATTTATTTATGATTTACATGTATAAGCAGATCATCTGGGTAGATGGTTGTGTGTTATCATAGTCCTGTGGTGTCCCTAGCTGTTTAAAGCAAAAGTTCTTTGTTAAGAGATTTTCAGGAGGTGAAAGACTGACTGCTGCTTTCTGTTTGATGGGTGGTGGGTTCTGAAATGTTTCCTTTCTTCATAAAGAAACCTTAAACCTTCAGCCAAAGCTTTAATGTAAGTTCACCGTTTTGTGAAATTTTTTTTTTTCTTCCTCCCCTCATTCTGGGTGTAGAGCTTTACTTGGTACTGCCTGTGTATTGTTCATAGAAGCTAATGCTTCAAAGCAACTGACACTTGTTATGTGCCTGAGCAATGTGCAATACTGGTAGTAACATCAATGTCCTTGCATCTTTATTATTAAAGCATGATAATTCTGGCTATGTTGTAGTGTTTTGGTTTGGGGGTTTTTGTTAGTTTTGTTTGTTTTTTGACATATTTGCTTTTGGGTTTATCAAAATTCATGGAAATCTTTTTCCAAGTTTGACTTGCGTAAGAGTCCTGTTTGAGACAAACAATGGGAGTTTTTTTTTTTTCTTCCCATAAATAAATAAATAAACGGGGTGGGGTATCTCATCAGAACCAAAGTTCCAGCAAGCAACATGCTCTCGTGATGGCTCATCTTACATAAAAGCTTTCTCGACCTGTCTACAGATGTCCCCTGGGTTGTGGTTCCGCCTGTGGAGTGCATTAGATCCACTTTACTGGGATCTCTCAGAAGCTGTTAAACCTGCCCTTACACCAGTAAAAACTGGGTCAGTGCAGCTCTGTGTCTGCCCACATAAGCCTTTAGTGATTGCATAATACCCATCACATTCAGTAAAAATTAAAGCAAAAAGCTGATTAAATCTACATGAGCTAACACTTGCATCTTTGCTACAATGGGTCCATTTCCGCTCCAGCTGTAAGGAGAAATGCTATGTTGACATTGCATAACCATGACTCCTCGGTTCATAAGGCATCTGAGTCATCAGATGCTGTAATCCCCACATCAGTGTAGGGATGCTAGATTAAATGAGTGGGCAAGCATTGGTTTGAGCATGAGTGCACACCAGTTTTTGTTTAAAGAACACTGGATGTGACTGCACCCACTCAGCTTATCCCCTTTCTGAAGACTGATGACGTGCTCTTTCCCTTTCTGAAAGTGGGTCAGTCTCTGAGAGGTTTGGCAGGCAGGCCGGCAGAGTCCCCAGGTAGATGGGACTGACATCATTATGATGGAGGTCAGATGTGTGATGACAATAGTCTGTCAGTACCTTCTACAGGCCAGTTTAGCATCAGACTGTGTTTTGATACTGGAATCTTCATGCATGGTGACGCTTGACTCTGATGCTTAAATGATTGATCATGAAAAGAAATGCTTTACAACATGGTAACCATCCTACATTAGCCTATTAGCCACATTGCTAACATTTATGGCCTTGAGAAAGTACGATGATACAATAAATTCTTCACTTCTTTATTTCACTAGCTGGGCCCACGTCCTCATTTTTAGGTTTGATAGCGTTTTAGTAGGTAAAAATGAATGCTTTGACATGAATTGAGCTGCGGTTTGGGGAAGGCCTCGAAGGGGACAGGCAGTGGCTCCCGGGCCTGGCAGATCTCCATGCACTAAATAGAAGTGAAGAAGTTAAAGAATTGAGAACAAGGAGAGTGGGGCACGTAAATGAGAATGAACAGCTTGCAGAACTGGGGGAACCTATATAGATGACAACCAGAACGAGTGTTTGGAGGCGTGGTCCTGCTCCTGAAATTCCGATACATAATCTCCAACTAAGTGCAATCGTTAATCTTTAAGTGTGTCACTCCATCAAGGTTTTGTCACATTTTCTCCCCTTAATCACTTCTGTAGTTTGCAGCATTTTTCATGAGGCTGGTTTGCAGGTAGGAGATTAAAAAATAGAAAGTTCTAGGTCAATTTTATTTTAACATGATGATGTCAAGGGAAGAGTCTATACATATTTCTGTTTTGCAGGAATGTAATGGCAATTCCACTAATAGCTTGACAAATTTCATTAAAAACCAGAGTGAGATATTGGTAAGGTTCATCCTCTGGGAATCATCACTGATGGTAACATTTTACAGAGCTCCTTCCAATAGAGTGAGATTTCACTGTAGAAACAAGTTGTTTGCCAAGTGGCCTACACCTAAAAAACACTCATAGACAGTGAAAAAGCCTGAACCTAAAGGTTGTATTCATGAAAAAGTATTACCTTTCCCACAATGGTTGCTGGAGTTATTTTACTATTTACATATCAGGCGTAGCCAGATTGTCTTCAGTTGAAGGTATGAATCAAAATTTATTAAAAACCTGTGTAGGTCTAATACAGCAGGGATACAATTTGTCAACTCTGGACTTATTACTTTATATTAGTCCTATGTTGTGCTCAACCACTGCTATTTTTACCATTAAGCATGTGTGAAAACAGGATTTTAATGATTAATTTCTGGAAAAAAAAAAATCACGACGTGCAAAATTTAAAAAGGAAAACATGACATGCAGCCTTTCTCAGTGAAAATAACAGGGAAAGGGCATTTCCAAAGAAAATAAATCCACACCTGCTTTTAATTTCATTCTTGAATCTATTCATGCTCTAATTATTTTCATATTCATTTTTATCATTGACATTTTAACAAAAATTTTGTCAGTAAATAATTGAATAATATTAACCCAGATATGTCTTCTTTGACTTGCTTTGCACCATTTATCACAAGTCATGGATGAACACATGCTGTATCTGCACTTGCCAATGTTTCCATGACAACACTGACTGGGAATTTCATTACAATGATGCATAACAAGATGCTCAGTCAGAAGCACTTACTTAAAATGATGTGCTAGGAAACGTTTATCCATCAGCCCATTATTTGCCAAGATTACTGTATGAGTGTCCACAGTGATGATGACCCATGTTTAAGTACTGGGTCTCTGCAGACAATTCATCAACTATTTAACAGCAGAGCAAGATTTCCTCCCCCAAGATAAAAGGGGGAAAAAAAGACGCATCAATCACTGGAAATTCTCCTTCAATATTACGGGCTGACAAAAATGAGTGAATGGCAGAGAGATGCAGTGAGATTACCATGGGAACCCACAGCTAATATCTGCATTGGCTACGTTCTAGTCTACCATCATGTATCCACACGCACTTTGAAAATTTCCAGCCTTCATTTTAATGCAGATTTCCAGCAAAATAAGGGCCATACAGCACAGGGAGATAATGTGAAATATAAAAGCATCATTCATTAAAAAAAAAAAA